AAAAAAAAAAAAAAAAAGACCTCCGTGGCTCATCTGTAAAGTGAGCACCAGACGGTGCCTATGCCATGGAGATGTGAGGATCTGTGGGTCAAGATGTAAAGTGCAGGGCAGAGCCATACCTCATTTCAGATAAAATGAACCTTTTCCCCATGGCCACACGGCACATCCTGCTGCTCTGCACTTAGAACCTCAGTGTCTGCACCCTGCTGTGGCTGTGGCCTTCAGGATCTGTCTTGCAGGCCTCCCTGCCCTCATCCCCTTCCATCTTCCCGCTCGCTCCACCCCAGCCACCCCAGCCTCTCACTGGTCCCGGAACACAGGCTTGTGCTAGCAGCACACCCCTCCCCTCCCCGCCCCAGGGCCTTTGCCCCTCCTGTTCCTTCTGTTGGAAATGCTTTTCCTCTTGTCCAGTTTGTTGCTTCTTTTGGGTCTCTGCTGCTATGTTCCCTTCTCCTTGAGGCCTAAGTAGATTCCTTCTCCTTTCCCACGTCCTATTCTCCTACTGGGCCCCCTCTTTGGGCTTGTTTACTTGTTTTGGGGGGCTGGACAACCAAGGGGCTCAGGGCAAACTCATTTGCTGATTCACAACATCTCAGCTCTGGTACTCGAATGTATCTTCTCCGGGCCATGGGACTGCAAGAAGACCCTCCTGAGGTTCTGGAAGAAGTATCGCCCAGGTTGGGGCCTTAAGGGGTGATGGCTGGGTGGGTGTGTGGAAGTGACTTTGAGTCCTGGAGATTTAAACCTGAGGGGACAGTTGGGACAGGGAAGAGGGGACGGGCTGAGTAGACAGTTCTGAGCTCAGCTGCGGACCTCGGTTTCCCCATCAGTGAATGGGGAGACTGGGCCAGTACCCAGCCTGTGGCCCGTTCTTACTGGGTGGCAGCAGCCCTGCCTCATGCCGCCTCCTCCTCCATCTCCACAGCCAAGGACTACGAGAACGCTATCAAGTTCTACAGCCAGGCCATCGAGCTGAACCCCAGCAATGCCATCTACTATGGCAACCGCAGCCTGGCCTACCTGCGCACCGAGTGCTACGGCTACGCGCTGGCCGACGCCACACGGGCCATTGAGATAGACAAGAAATACATTAAGGGCTACTACCGCCGGGCCGCCAGCAACATGGCACTGGGCAAGTTCCGGGCTGCCCTGCGTGACTACGAGACGGTGAGCTGGGTGTCAGGGAGTGGGCCGCCTCCTGGCACCTGAGCCTGGTGGCGTCCACCTCGGGCCAGATGGGGCGGGCCGGGGGGGGGGGGGGGGGGGGGCGGGGGGGGGGGGGGGGGCGGGAGGGAGCAGGGATGGCCTCAGGGTGCGTGGCTGGCGGGGGAGGGAGGGTGTGAAGAGGCCGTCTGCCTGTTCATCCACCCCTCACCCATCCGACAGATAAATGCCCGAGAGGCCCCTTGGCCTGGAGCACACTTTGTGGGTTCACATCCCAGCTCTGCCATCACTTGCCTGGTGACCCTGGATGAGTTACCTGGCCTCTCTGTGCCGCCTGGTCCACAGCATGAAATGGGGAGAACAGCAAGACCTGCCTCTGAGGGTTGCCATGAAGAATCAATGAGTTTCTGTTTTTCAAGCGTTCAGACCAGTGCCTGGCCCGTAGCCCGTGCCCTGTGACAACGCACCGTTGGGGTTTTTGGCTGTTGGTGACCAAGAGCCATGCAACCCGTCTTTCAGCGGAGCTGTAATTTGGAGGAAGGCAAAACCCAAACCTGTGACTTAGAGTAGGCAAACAGAGTCATGGCAGGCGAGGATATGTGCTTGAAAGAAGGCAGAACAGGGCCATATGCTGTAGAGGGCAGCAGATGGGGCACGTGTCATGATGAGACGAGGGAGGGGACCTAGAGCATGGCAGGTCACTAGTTCACCCGCTCATTGGCCACTCCCATCCCTGTGATTTCCTCTGATGGTCATGATAGGCGTGAGGACGTCAGAACGCATGCGTTCCTGCCAGGCATGTCCGTGCCCTCCGTGCGGACTGGCGGAACGAATCATTGTGGCAGCCCTGTGGGAGGGGGGCTGGTGATTAACCCCATTGTGCAGATGGGGAGGCTGAGGCCCAGGGAGTTGGGTCACCTGTCTGCCAACATGCGGCTGGCAAGTGGCAGACCTGGGGTTTGAACCCCTGGCACCTGTGTCTACTGCTTCGGAGAGCCTGACAGGAGGGGTTTTGCTTGTTCTGTTCATTGGGTCGTTGCTTGGCACCAACAGGGGCTCAGTCAGAATGTGTTGCATTATTCTGCACTCCCCCCCCCATACACACCCCCATACTCCTTCCTTTTGTTTCATTCACTGCTGGGCGCTGGGCAGCTTCTGTTGTGTGGGGAGGGGCACCTAGGGGGTTGAGAGCCACAGGCTGCAGTTGGAGAGAGTGGGGCTGGCTGCTGGCCTGGGGTGGAGGGTGGATTTCAGGCCAAGTGAAGTCTTGAGCCAAGCCCTGGGCCAAGGGACCCCTGTATCAGGGTGGGGGCAGGGGCATGGAAGAGGCGGTAATGTAGAGACTGGGGGGCAAAATGGAGGAGGTAGTGGGGTGACACCCAGGAGGATGGGGGAAGGAACAGTGGGACAGAATCCTTAGGAGCTTCAGGTCCCAGGCCATTCCCCAGCCTAACCTACACCTTGTCACCTGGTGTCCTCATCTAGAGAATAGCAGCAAGAGGAGTGGCCACCTCCTGGGTGGCCGTGGTGTGAGTAGAGGTTATTGGGGCAAAGGGTCCATTAATGAGTAACCCAGGAGGGCCCTCAGGGTTGGACGGGGGCAGGGTTTTTCTGCAGGGCTCCCAGTGCGGGGACCGGCCTGGAGGAGACGGGGCAGGGCAGAGGACCGACGAGCCTGAGCGCAGGTCTGTGGCAGGGTCTTCTCCATGCGTGGAGTTGTAGGAAAGTCTTTCCCGGGGTACAGTCCCCTTCTCCTCATGGCTCTGGGCCCTGGTCAAGCAAGGGCCTAACCCCACATACTCCATGAGACTGAGATGGTTGGTTCTAGCCATCATGTGGACATAATCACATATGAACTTCTTCCCAGGCCTTTTGGATGCCATGGAAGGCTGGGTGGCGGGGGTCCACAGCCTTTTGGGAACCAACCTGAGGTGGGGCCACACTCAGCATTTAAATGGTCACAGCCTATTTCCCTGTGGAGGCTTCGCCAGGAGCAGTGGCGAGTCCCCACATGAGCCCGGGATCCTTGCCCGTGTGGGTCCTCCCCAAGCCTTCAGGCTGTCTGCTTCTCCACTCTGACACATTTCATCAGGCTCTGTGAGCGCCAGGCAGCTCCCCGTCCAGAGGTCTCTACCTCCTGCCCCCCTGCCTTCCAGAGGTGCCTTGCGACACGCTAGGGCTTCAGGCCCCCGCTTAGATTGCGGCTTCCGTGGAGGCAGGGCCACGATGTGGCCTTGGATGAACATAGGCCTGAGGCTTTCTTTCTCTTTCCGTTCTCGGCCTCAGTGTCCTCCTCTTCACGCTCACCATGGGCCTCGCTCTGTTGTGAGCTCTTTACATGCCTGGGCTCTGTCCATTGTGCAGGCAGGAAGCAGAGGTCTGGAGGGGAAGCCCCTCCAAAGCCTTGGGGAAGAGTTGGGACTGGAACCCGGAGTCCCGTCTTGTGTCTGTTAGTGGGCCATGAAGTCAGTCCAGTGGTTTGACACTGGCACCTCTGTCTTCCTCAAATAGAATAGAGTAGAAGAAAAACAGTTCCTTTGGAGGAAGTGTGTATATATATTTGTGAAAAAATGTTTCTCACGTATGTGAATATGAGTGTGTGGTATAAAATGTGTCTTTCCTTACCCTGAGTCATAATCCAAACCCTCAAGGCTACTAATGTCAGAGCTGACACTGGCAGCAGTCCGGCACCCAGCCATGGGCTGGCTCTGAGTGCTTTGGCTCTCTGCCCTCGGTGTCCTCATCTGTAGAAGGGGGAGAACGCTAGGGCCTGCCTCAGAGTGTTCCTGTGAGAAATAAATGAGATTGGTACGTGGAGAATGGGGCCTGCCCCCACTTAGCACTCGCTGCCCTTCGTCCTGGGGGTGTCCGGGGGGAGAGCCCCTGGCCCGCAGGAAGGCTGTGTGCCCCTCCAGGGGCCTCAGCAGGAACTGGTCTCCCTTTTCCATGGGTCCACACTGAACCCTGCCCCCCCATCCCTCTCACCTCCAAGTTAATCCTTTCAGAGGGACCCTTGCTCCAGGATTCCTTGTCCCTTTTTTGGGTCCTCTTCTCAGAAGACCGCTCTGCCCCTGCCGTGTTCTTTCCTGTTTGTGGTTAGAATGCAGCTGGTCATCCGGGCTCAAGCCGGATCCAGGGGACTCCTTCTACGTCTCCCCACCTCGGATTTTGGAGGTTTGGTTTATAATAGGGTTTGCATTTGGGTTTCTTCTTGCAGCATCGTCCAGCCTTGCAAGCCCGTACGGCGTGCGTACACCTAAGGAATGGCGACCCCGTAGTTGCAGGAGTCACTGTAGCTGATGCCTCGTACAGCCCGCACCGTGGGCCGGCCGCCACGGTGACCTTCATGCCCTAGTAACGGGCAGTCTTCACACCAACCCTGCGCCGTGGGGCCTGTCCTTCTCCCTGATTTATAGATGAGGAAACTGAAGCCCAGAGTGTGGGTCTCTCCCTCGAGGTCCCACAGCCAGGAAGTGACAGGGTGGTACCCGAGTCAGGCTCGTGACCACTGACCGTCCGCAGCGGGCAGAGCGCCTCGGCACAGCGCTCTCCCATCGCTCAGCCCGACTCCGACCGTCTCTCCTCTTCTGTTGCGTTTTGTAAAAGGAACGTTGAGTATGACTCGCTAAATTAAGTCACTAGAGGGTCTTGCCCTGGAGGGTGACAACCTTGGTGTCATGCTTGAGACTGTCCCTGTGCATTGCCTGCCCGAGACCCGGCCTCCCTCCCGCTGCCTGTGTGCCTTGGACAGGCCCCTCCGGGCCGCATCTCAGCACTTTTAGAGTGAAGTTCGGGCAAATTGTTTGGTGGCCAGATCTGACCCGAACTTACGAGTGGGATACTGTGACTACCAGTGCCACTCGGACCTGCCGGGGGCGTTTCGGTCCCCACGGCATTGCCTGGCTGCCACCTGCAGGCGGCCCCCACGGCGTCACGTAGGGATCGCGAACCCGGCTTACCGTGCGGTCAGTTCGTACATCGTGGTTCTTGCCTGTGAGCACTCCTGGCTGAATGGCACTTGTCAAAACAGTTTCTCAAGGGCATCGTGGCTTCACACGCAGTTGTGAGAAGTGAAGTGAGACCGTGCTCCTGGTTTCCCCCGTAACCACGTAGACACCATGGTCAGAATCTGGACCGTGATACAACCCACATACCACTTTCTAAAGACAAGTCCAGCGTTGAGTTCTGACCCGCCAGGCCCCTCCAGTCTGGAGGGAATGACCTTCCCCCGGAGCAGGGGTGCCCGTCAGGGCCACTTCCCCTTTCCCAGCCCGTAGTGAGTCGAGCCGGCAGCCACCGGGCCTGGAGTGAGTACTCGCTGGCTGTAGGCCCCTGTGATGGGCCCTCCGCAGGGGTGCTGGCACCCTGCCCTCTTCCTAGGAGCTGAGGGGGGCTCAGGCTGGGGACAGGTGGCAGTGGGCAGGGAGGGGGTGCAGCCCAGCGTGCACAGTGGAAGGTAGGGTCCTAGGCAGGGACAAAACAGAATCCTGGCTTCTTGGGCCTCGGTTTCTCTGCCTCATGTCTCTGGGCCTCAGTTTTTTCATCCGTCAAATGGGGGTTGGGTTAACACCCAATAGAGCTGCTTGGAGGGTAAAATGAGCCAGTTCAGTGTAGACGACGACGTCAGGGACATAGTAAGGGCTCCGAAATTAGCTGTGTATTGTTACTGCTGCCGGTCCTCTTTTCCCGGCCTTGTTAGTATTCGTCCCCATTCTCCACCTACCCTGCGAGCTCTCTGAGAACGGGGACTGGCCGGAGGAAATGCTTAGTGGTTCATCCTTCCCCTGGGATGCGTCTGTTCCCTCCTGGGGCGCAGTTGCCGCCTCACCCTTGGGGCCACCTTCCAGTGGGGAGACACCCACCTCCAGCCATGCTTAGGGCTGGGCCTGGTGAGCCCCAGGGCTTGTGGGAGCACAGAGAGGTGCTTGACCCAGCCTGGAGAGCTAGGAAGGAGCTGGAGGTGGAAGGGAGGTGTCCTGGGCCGGGGGCAGCCTGTGCAAGGTGACGGGAGCTAGCACATGGCACTTGCGGGTTTGCTCTGCCTGGGTTGTGCTGGGCGGACAGAAAGTAGAGGGGTGGGCAGGCCCACGTGGGCCAGGCCGAGTGTTAGTTTGGACTTGATCCCAGTCTTGATCCCTTCTCCCTGTTGGGAAGGACTCCAGGGGATGTCTGGTGCCGCCTCCCGAGCCTCGCACCACACCCACAGCCCAGGTGGAGTCGCCTGGCAGGCTCCCTTAGCTTGAGCCTGCCCAGACAGGGAAGAAGCCATCGCCTGCCACCATCCAGCTCCCTGCCATCCGCTGGGTCTGCACACCCGTCCCCAGGGTGGATGAGCCCCGTGATCCTCCAGGGTTAGCAAGTGCCTCCGCACAGGCTGCTGACTCCTCTGGGGGTGGTGGCATCCCCGCACTTGAGGGCCAGCTCTGGCACCTCTCTCTGGGCCCCCGGCACAGGAGCTGTGGACCTCCTCCTCCTCGGGCCACCCGCGGCGTAGGCACGTCAGGCAGGGTCCACTAATAGCAATTAGAGTTAACAGATAAGGAAACTGAGGGGGCAGGGGCAGGGAGGGTGACGTCCTTGCTGAAGGTGACACAATAAGCAAGTGGAAGAGCCCTGTCTGCTTCCAAATTGGGAGGGTCAGAATTTGTAGAAAGTGGGATAGAAGGTGGCGGCGGGGGTGGGCTCCTTTTATTGAGAACTTACTGTACCTCCAAGTCCCGGGCCTGGTGCCTGTTTGTGTTTGACCCCATCGCAGGCACAGCAGCCCGTGAAAGGGGCCATGAGGTGCAGCCACCACTTGTGTGGACTTTACTCTTGCTGGCCCGGCGGCACACGCACGCTCTGTGCAAGTTCTCGCCTGTGATCCTCACAGCCGCCCTCAGAGGCGGAGACCGTTACCGCTTCCCTCCCGTGGAGAGGCTGCCCGGCTGCCCCCAGGGTTCCCCGCTGCTCCCGTGACTCGGCTGAGGATTGGTGGAGCTGGGCTTTGAACCCGGGCGGCCTGCCTCTCCCCACAGTCTCTACTGCCCTTCAGAGGCGGAGACTGAGGGGACAGCACTCGGTGCTGGTGCTAGCTGCAGCGGGCGGGGCCCTGGCTTCCTTACTTGTGCTTCCCCACAGCCCTGCCAGGTGGAGCCTGCCATTGTGTCCCCCCACCCCTTTTATAGATAAGAAAATGGAGGCCCAGGGGGTCCAGGTTATCCAGCAGGTCGTTGGTTCTGTTGAGCCTGGGCTGTTCCTTGTGACTGTGGACCCAGCCCACCCTCTCCTCTTCCTCCCACAGTCCTCGGTGTTGACTGTCACGTCAGTAAAGCGAGCCTCAGCCTGCTGGGGTCCCCACGAGGAGCTCCAAGCTGAGCACATGCTCCAAAGCTGGGACACTTACTTTAACGACTAAGATTTTTGTAAGAAATCCCACCTGCTTGGGTTAATGGTGTTTACCAAACCTCAGGACAGCCCTGGGTGGGCAGCTCTCCTTGCCCAGTTTCAGGAGGCACAGGCTGCGGTCTGGAGGTGGATCACGTTCAGGGTCGCGCCACTAGCGCATGGAGGCCGGTGGTCTGGCTCCAGGTTCGTGGCGCCCGGGGCCAGGCTGAGCGAGCGTGGCCCCGGCGTCCCCTCTTCTGCCTGCTCCTCTGCCCCAGGCCGGCTGTGCCGGGGCGTTGATGCCTCTTTTCTTCCTTCCTCTGCCCACCTGCCTGCCCAGGTGGTGAAGGTGAAGCCCCACGACAAGGATGCCAAAATGAAGTACCAGGAGTGCAACAAGATCGTGAAGCAGAAAGCCTTCGAGCGGGCCATTGCAGGCGATGAGCACAAGCGCTCCGTGGTGGACTCGCTGGACATCGAGAGCATGAGTGAGTCGGGCCTGGGTGCCCTGCCACACCCAGCCCCGAACATTCCACATCCTTGCATGGGCCCTCTCCATTCCCCACGCACACTGGGGAGTGGCGGCGGGGGTGGCCTCTGGCCCCGCGCCGCTGTCTTTTGCTCCTCTTCCTGCGTTCCTGGGAACTCCACAGTCCCTCGCTGGGGCTTGCGTTCCCCAGATCAGGCCAGGTGGGTGAGCCCCTCCTACCCACCCCCGCCGGGGTCTAGCTCCCTGCCCGCATCTGTACTGCCCAGCCCACCCTTCCCGGGCCTCCCTGTGGGGCTTGTCTAGGTCCTCCAGGCCCTCCGACGATTCAGTTATTCGTTCCACAGCTAATTACCGAGCACCTGCTATGTGCCAAACCCTGTTCTAGACACTGGGGATACAGCTGTGAATAAAATAGTCTCTGCCCTCATCAAGCTGATGCCCTGGTAGGGAAAGAGATGATTAACAAGTCAACAAATGAATTAACTGTGTTAAGTGCTATAAAACCAAGCAGGCGGTGGGGAGAGAGGGTGCTGGAAGAGGGGGGCCCACTGGACAGAGAGGAAAGCAGAGCCGGCCCGAGCAGAAGGAGCAGGCAGGGAAAGGGCCTGGCTGGGGAGTGGGACCTTCTCCCTCCATCTTCCTCTCGCCCTGTGCCCGGGAACCCCCCCCCCGCCGCCCGCCGCCCTGATGGCTGTGGTCACTGACTCGCCCCTGCTCCCCGTTCACACACCAGCCATTGAGGATGAGTACAGCGGGCCCAAGCTTGAGGATGGCAAAGTGACAATCACCTTCATGAAGGAGCTCATGCAGTGGTACAAGGACCAGAAGAAACTGCACCGGAAATGCGCCTACCAGGTAACGCACCTGCCAGGTGCTGCACACACCTAGGACCTCCGCCACAAAGGGCAGGTCGAGGGGCGGGGCGGCCTCGGCGGCCAACACTGAGGAGCAGGGAGTGTGCTGAGCACAGTGCAGAGGAAGGCTTTATTTCTGATGCTGCGTTTTCGTTTCTGGCATTTCCATCTAGTTATTTTTATTAATAGTTCTCATCTCCCTGCCCCATATGTTCATGCATGTTGTCTTTTCCACTAGATCTTTTACACATTTATCATAGTTATTTTTAAAGTCTCTGGTAATTCCACCATCTGGGTCATCTCTGGGTCTGCTTCTGTTGTCTGTTCTTCGTGTGTCTCATCGTTTTTTATTGTCTGCCAGACATTTTGGGTAAAAGAACAGTAGCGACCGAGCTAAGTAAGAATTGTGCACAGACGATGGCGGCCCTGTCTTCCGTCAGGCCGCTGGTATGAGGGGCCCTGTCCAAGCGATCTGCAGTTGCACGCAGCTCTTGCTGGAGTTCACTCCTGGCTCGCACTGTTTTCAGACGGGAATCAGCACTCTCCCGTCAGCCCTGGCAGGATCGCAGGGGTGTCTCCGTTGTAAAGCCTCCAGCTTCTGGAGCTGTGGGAGCGCTCTCTGATTTTCAGCCCCACAGCCAGATTTTTGGGCTGCTGGGGGAGCTCTGTGCTCTCCAGTGTTGCCCCCACTCTTGTGCCTCAGGAGGCCCCGCCACACACACACGCACCATGCTCCTCACACCTCGCTTTCTGTGACGGCGGCGTGAGCAGGTTGGCAGGTGAGAGCAGAAGCGTTCGGTGGCGGGGGCTGCTCCGGGCTCTCCGCTGTCACCAGCCCGCACACGGCCCGGGCGCTCTGCTGGCTGCCCTCACTCTGGGCCTCGCGGAGCCTCTTGGCCTCCTGCCCTCCTGCCACGCTGCTGCGAAGCGCCAAGGAAGGGCTTGTTGCTGCTACAGCTGATGCATTTAGGTTTCTTTGCGAACACCCTCGGCTCTCAGATGGTTTTCATGAGATTGGATTTTGTGGGTTTGGGGTTTGTTGTCATTAGGGCAAGAGTGAGTCTTTTGTAACCTTCTCCATTCTGACCAGAGGTGGACATCTTCTACTTTTTTTTGATACTTTGGGTCCCCCCTCCCCCCCCAACTTTTTATTTTGAAGATTGTCAAACCTGCAGAAACATGGAAAGAACAGTACAGCTGATATCCATGCCCCCTTCACCCAGATGCGCCCGTTGTTCGCATTTTGACACATTTACCTTAGCTTTCTACACACGTGTGCATGCACATGCACTGCGGTCTTTCTTTCCTCGTTTCTTGTCCTGAACCAGAAAGAAGTTGCATCATAACCTGTATCTCCTAAAAGCAGGACCTTGTTCTGCGACCACAGTTCCGGTGTCTCCCCTTAGAAATTAATACTGCCTGGGGTGCCTGGGTGGCTCAGTCGTTAAGCGTCTGCCTTCGGTTCGGGTCATGATCCCAGGGTCCTGGGATCGAGCCCCGCATCGGGCTCCCTGCTCCGCGGGAAGCCTGCTTCTCTCTCTCCCACTCCCCCTGCTTGTGTTCCCTCTCTTGCTGTGTCTCTCTGTCAAATAAATAAAATCCTTAAAAAAAAAAAAAAAATTAATACTGCCTAAGGCAAACAGTCCACAGGCCATCCACAAAATCTGGAAACACTGTCAAATATACATGACAACATCAAAGTCATGTTCAATCTTTTCTTAGCAAAAACTAGTATTGTGTACATTTCCAGACAAATACTTTAACTTCCCTCGGTTCTCCCAAAAATGTCCTTTTTAGCTATTTTGTGGTTTTGTTTTTTATGGGTGTTTGTTTGTTTTTAATCGAGAATCCATTGACAGAGCAAATGTTGCATTTTTATCTTCTTTCATCTAGAACAGTCTCGTGCCATTTTGGGGAGACGCTTTCATGACACATGTAGACATGTCCCGGCCAGTTGTGTTAGAAAATGTTCCACATCTGGATTCATCCATGTTTCTTCATGTTGCTGATTGTATTAAGGGGAACCCAGAATCTCCGTTTTCATGTGAAATATCCTGATGTTGAAATGCCACAGAGGCCGCTGGGGCCACAGCTTGAGGGCCGCCTGTGGCTCCTGCCAGCGCTCACTTGTCCAGCCTCCCCTGCCCATTCCTCTCCCCTCCCGGCCTCTCCCTCACCCTCCACGCAGCAGTGTCTCCCGGTTAGCCCAGGCTCCCCGGGGCCCGGGATGGGCGGTCGGCCCTCCCTCCAGCCAAGCTCACAGCCTGCCTTGCCTTCCAGATCCTGGTACAGGTCAAAGAGGCCCTCTCCAAGCTGAGCACGCTCGTGGAGACCACGCTCAAAGAGGTGCGCGCCGTGGGGCAGTGTGTGGACGGGGCAGGGGCGGGGGGGCTCCCCAGCTGGGGAGGGGCTGTGGAGCTCAGAAACTCACAGACCCCCCTGGCTTGGTCTGCCTTTCCTCCCCCTGCACCCCGCACCCCTCCGAACGTCTCCCCCGATGCCCCTCCCCTCTCCTGGCCTCCTGATTTCTGTCCCACCCTCTTCATTTCTGTGTCCCCTGTCTGTGTCTTTTGCATGCTGCTTCTCGGTCTCCCGTGACCTCTTGCCCCTCCCCTCACCTCTGCCCCCTCCCCACGTCTCTCTCTGGGCCCCTCCCTCTCCGGTGGCCTCTTTTCTTCCAGACAGAGAAGATTACGGTGTGCGGGGACACCCATGGCCAGTTCTATGATCTCCTCAACATATTTGAGCTCAATGGTTTACCCTCAGAGACCAACCCCTATGTATCCTTCCTCAGAAGAACACACCCTACCTGTTCCGTCACGGGGCTTTGAGAGACGAGCCTCCGCCAGCAGGCAGGGCATGGGCCTGCAAAGGGAGAAGCCGGAGCAGTGGCTCGGGCGCGGGGGTGTGGGTGGAGTGGCCGGCCGGCACCAGATGGGCCAGGGCCCGTCTCCCCGTGCTGTGTGACCTGGGCAGGTGGCCCAGTCCCTCTGGGCCCCAGCCCCTCTTCATCTTCAGATGAAGCTGCTGTAAGAGCGCATGTGTAACAGCACCAGGCACTGCCACTTCCAGCTGTGGAACCGTGGCACGCCCTCTTCTCTCGGGCCTCAGATTCCTCGTTTGCAAAATGGGTGTCGTAGGGTCCGCCTCATGGGATTGTTGAGAGGGTTGTGAAGAGCCGAGTGGCCCACGGTCAGAGCTGTATAAGTATTTGCTGAGGTTACGACCATTGCTTGATAAATGGCCATGGTGTGGGGCCACCAGGCCTGTGCAGTATTGGGGGGGCGGGGGTGAGTGTTCTGTTTCCCCTGTGGCTTTAGGGCTTGTATTTGGGGGGGGGAGCAAAGCAAGCTGACCACCCCACGTCCCCCTCCACCACCTGTTTCCCTGAGAAACAGGTGAGGTTGGGGACATCAGTACTGTCCTGCTGAGCCTCGGAGAGGCCCAGCTGCCGGGCCAGAGCCAAACAGCAAGAGAGACAGCAGTGCAGACCTCCAGCCCTGCTGACACCCCCACTCCTAGGGAGGAAATGGCAGGAGCTGTGGGACATGGAGAGGCTGAGGAAGAAGGCAGTGCCCACCCCCCTCGTTTTCCTTAGCAGAGCAGATATTTAATGGCGACTTCGTGGACCGTGGCTCCTTCTCCGTAGAAGTGATCCTCACCCTGTTTGGCTTTAAGCTCCTGTACCCAGATCATTTTCACCTACTTCGAGGTAAGCTGGGCAGCAGCAGGGTCTGGGGTCAATGTGGCCTTGTGCAGGATGAGCTCGCTGGGGAACAAGGGCCCCTCTGGGGTGAGGGGGATCCTGTCCATGGAGAGATGAGCAGGAGGAGGGAGTGAGGGCAGTGGGCTGGGTTGGGGTCTCCGGGGGCCCTGAGTGCCAGGTTCGTGGCCAGGTTCAGGGGCTTCACGCAGCAGCGCTCGGCACATGGTAGGTGCTTGGGAACCACCTGTTGTGGGCTTCCCTGTAGGAGGTGGTGAAGAGCTGGCTGCAGCAGACATGGGGGCCTGGACAGCTTCCTTGTCTGCCCCCGTAAGCCCCAGGAGCCCTGGGAGGGAAGAATGAGTTTGCGTGGGGGACGCTGGAGGCACAGCCTGGGGCCGGCCCACATTAGGTGTTCTGTAGTAGGCCTGTTCTTTTGTTAAGACTTGCCCCCTCCTTGGTCCTTCTAGCTGGAAGGCATGCAGCTTCTCCAAACAGGAGCCCAAGGCCCACAGGGGCAAAGGATACAGCCGTGGTCACTCGGGGCTGGAGGCTGGACCAGGCCTGCGCCTTGTGGCCTCACACCCAACGTGTGCCCCTCAGACTGTATTTCCCTCCAGAAAAGGGACTGAGAACAGTGTCTGCACCTCCTTGGGTTTCTCTGAGAGGCCAACCAGCTGATGTGTGAACATTGTTGGCTTGGGGCCGCCGGGCAGTCCTCCCCAGGCCCCTGGACGTGGGCCCCAGGGGGCGCCCAGGCAGGGGGTGCTGAGGCTTCTCTTCATCCTGCTGCTGGCCAGGCAACCACGAGACGGACAACATGAACCAGATCTATGGCTTCGAGGGCGAGGTGAAGGCCAAATACACAGCCCAGATGTACGAGCTCTTCAGCGAGGTGTTCGAGTGGCTCCCGCTGGCTCAGTGTATCAACGGCAAAGTGCTGGTGAGGGCGGCGGCAGGACCGCGGGCCCCTCCGCACCCCCAGGGGCTGCATGCGGCCACATGTGCTGGGGAAGCAAGTCGGAGGGTTGGGGTGTGGCCGGTGCCTCCACCCACACTGCTGTTTCCCCTCTCCCCCCACCCCCCGCACCCCAGATCATGCACGGGGGCTTGTTCAGTGAGGATGGCGTCACCCTGGACGATATCAGGAAGATTGAGCGGAACCGGCAGCCCCCAGATTCAGGTGACCAGGGCGGGCCGGGTGGCAGCCCCTTCCCTCGAGGGGCTGCAGCATCTCCAGCGGAGAGGGGTGGCCCTGCGCCGGGTGGGCTTCGCGCCCTTGGCAAGGACGGCAAGGCTGAGCCTCTGTGTCCTCACCTGTAACTCGGGTTGGTGCACTCCCCTCCCGGGGCCGTGCTGACGAGGGAGCGTTCGTGTTCGCCATGGGGAGCACGCATCGATCACTTATTTGTGAGTTTGGCCGCTGAGCCCGGAGGGTGACATATCAGGGCTCCTGCTGGAGCCATGAGCACAGACGGAGAGCGCGCGCATGCACACACAGCTGTGGGAAGCGTGGCATGGGGCCCGGATTGGGTGGGTGGGTGCCCTCTCTGGGGACACCGGATTTGAACTGATGGGGAAGCAGGCACCTGCCACCCAGAAGAACGTCCTTGGCCAGCAGCACAAGGGGGTCCCACATCAGGTGCGCTTCACAGGTGGGAGGAACAGCTAGCAGGCCAGTGGTTGGGGGGTGAGCAGGGATGTACTTTTTAAAGGGGTGGATGGGGCCAGACCCTGCAGAGCCTCACAGGCCCAGGTGAAGAGCGTGGGCTTGGTTCCTAGGGCAGTGGGAGCCACAGCAGGCTTCGAGCAGCAGAGGGGTGTGATCTGAACTGCACTGTTAAAAGTTCCTCCCATTGTGGGGTCAGAATATGTTGAACGGGTCTGGAGGGGAGGTCACGGAGCTCAGAACCCCACTTCACGGGCCCTTGCTCAGGGATGCCCTGCCCAGCCCCCACCCCAGCTGTGCTCTGGGGTGGACCAGTCCCTGACATCCCCTCTCCTCCCCCCCCCCCCCCCAGGTCCCATGTGCGACCTGCTCTGGTCAGACCCACAGCCTCAGGTCAGTGTGCGCAGGGCTGTGGCCGGCAGGTGTGGGCTGCGGGAAGAGAGGGGTGGGGGGCGGTCAGCACCCTGAGCTCCCTGTCTCCCCAGAACGGACGCTCGGTCAGCAAACGGGGCGTGAGCTGCCAGTTTGGCCCTGATGTCACCAAGGCCTTCCTGGAGGAGAACCACCTGGACTACATCATCCGCAGCCACGAAGTCAAGGCTGAGGGTTACGAGGTGGCGCACGGCGGCCGCTGTGTCACCGTTTTCTCCGCCCCCAACTACTGGTGGGTGCCGCCCTCCCACTGCTCTGGGCTTCTCTTCCCCGCCCACTGTATTTTGTGCTGTGGGTTTGTGTTTTTTTTTTTAACTTTACCATCAGAAAATGTCAAAGACAGGCAGGCCTAGGTAAAATAGTATAAGGAACGCCCACGTGGCCATCACTCAGGTTCAGCAGTTCCCAACTCCCTGGGCTCTTTTAAAGCAAACCCCAGGCATCCCCTCTTTCATGTGCTGACACCCCCGTACGTATCTGGAAGAAAGAACTCTGCTTTTCTCTACGCACGCAGAACACGCTGTCACGCTGTCAGGTGTCAGAAGAGGTCACCTGAACCCAGCTCTCTCTTTCCTCATGTCTCTCATAAATGTCTCTTTTCAGTTTGATGTTTTCCAAGTAGGCCCCGAACAAGGGCCACACTCCGGTCTCCTTGTCTTCCGTTTCCCTGTCCCTCCTTCCCTGCCGTTGCCGGGTTTTGGTTGAAGGAACCAGGCCCCTCGTCCTGCAGTTGCCTGTGCTCTGGACCAGGCCGCCCCTATCCTCCGGGGGCTGGGCACCACGTTCCTCTGTCCCCTGTGTTTCCGGGTGCTGAGGGGCAGGGTGTGCTCAGGACAGAGTTCAGGTTTTGGCAAGAGCCCTGCCTCCATGGGGCTGGCTGTGTGTGCCTCCTGCCTGTGGGGTCAGGAAGGCCCTCTGCTGGCCCCGCCTGCACGCCCCGTGCCCCCCTCCCACCTTCACCCTCCTTCCCCTCCTCCCCCAGCCTCCCGCCCAAGCTTCCCTGGGGGCGTCCCCTCCTTCCCCCTAGATTCCTGCCTTTCCCGGTTGGCCTCTTTCTCACTTCTGTGTCTCTCTGTCCACCTGTGTCTGACTTTCTCCCTCTTCCAGCTCTCAGCTACTCCGTCCCTCTGTTTCTGTCAGAGTCTCTGATGGGTTCTGTCCATCTGTCTCCCTCTTCTCTCGGACTTTCTGCCATCCAGTCTCCTTGGACCCTCCTCTCTCCACCGCCCCCCCCCCAACCCCTCCTTGTGTTTCCCCCTGCCCCACCGGTGACGGGCTCCTCTGCCCCTGTCCCCACAGTGACCAGATGGGGAATAAAGCCTCCTACATCCACCTCCGGGGCTCCGACCTACGGCCCCAGTTCCACCAGTTCACAGCAGTGGTGAGTCACCTGCGCGGCCCCCTGCTCTCCCTGGCCTGGTCAAGGGCAGGGCACAGTGCCCAGCACTCTCGCGGGGAGGGCTGCTCCCTGCATCTGGTGCTGTGAAGCTCTGCCCCATTTCTGTCTCCCCTGTGCTCTCGTTCCCCAGCCTCATCCCGACGTCAAGCCCATGGCCTACGCCAGCACGCTGCTGCAGTTAGGGATGATGTGAGGCCCGCGCGTCCCAGGGCCTGCTCCCCCTGTGACCCCAGGCCCGGCCCAGGGCAACGTTGGACCCCCTTTTACTTTGTAAAGTTTGTATTTATTCCCCTTTAGGTTTGCAGAGGGGGTGGGGAGCCGACCAGAGGGTCTGCTCCCTGGTGAAAGAGAAAGGAGGAAGTAGAGAGGCTGGGGTTGGGGCATACCCGGGCATTGCAGGGCATTGCAGGGCATTGCAGGGCATTGCGGAGGGAGGCCGCAGGGGGTGGGGTGGGTGGGGCCCAGAGGCTTCCCCGCCTCCCTCATTTGCATGGCCACCCCCCCCCAAGCAATAGGGCCCCGCCATAGGAAGACCCCCGGAAGGAGGGTCATCAGGGAGGCCTCACCTGCATCCCCCCCGCCTCCTTGCAGCCCCGAGATGGGGCAAGGCTGGGGCTCAACCCCCTTCCCCAGCTATTTTATGTCTGTAATTAAATATGTTAAAATAAAGTCATTGTTGTAAGTCAGCTGGTCTCAGATGGTGGAGCTGCTGGGATTGGGATGACTAGCATCCGGAGGGTAGGGGGGTCCACAAAGCCCCACACCCCTCCTCTTCCATCTCTCGGGGGCTGGACTGGCTGGACCGCTGGGCTCGGGGCTGTGGAGGGAGAAGCCCCAGCCGCCCCAGGGCGCACACTGGGAGACAAGGCGCAGGCTGGGCTGGGGCTGCCGGGCCACAGCGGAAGCTGGAAAGACTTGTCCTTCCCTCTCACGATCCTGGCAGCGGGCACTCACTGAGGCTGCCGCGTGCCCTCAGTGGCGCACAGTGTCTGCTGGGCCGACCCCACGCTGGCTCTTGCAGCACCCAACGAAGCAGACATTTCCCCCGCCAAGGAAGACCAGAGGTATTTTCTACTGCTCATCTTTCATTCTCCATCAGAGATTAATACCAAATCCTGTCTGTGCTGCTCTGCCTGCCCCTGGCCCTGTGGAGACATTTGTGTTTTCACGCTTGAGCTTCTCCAGACCTACCTTTTTCCGGGGAGATGTTGTCTACGGGCAGGTGACAGCAGTAAGATGGGGGGAGTCCTGTGAGTGCTTTGAGCCCGTGGGTTGCCTCCCCCGGGGCAGAAATGAGATGGCAGCCCTCGTTCTGCTGTGGCATCCCAGAGGCTCTGCGGTAGGGTCCTTTCTCAAGCCAGTCAGCAGCGTAGTGTGTGAACCTCCGTCCTGGGGGGTGTGGCCTGGGGGTTAGAGTATCCTGAGGAGGACAGGCACAGATCCCAGTGTGCCGAGTCCGTTTCCTCCCCGCGGGAAGGACGTGTCCTGAGGAGGCCTTCAGACCTGCTCGTGGATCCGGCCTGGTGAGAGGCCGCCGTCTCCGTAGGCACACTGGGGGTCATGGCTCTGACAGCTGTGCTCGGGAGTCCCCAGGCCACCCCTCCTGTTCAGTCATTAGCTAGGACTCACAGGACTCAGCAAAGCTGTGATGGTTACAGCTAATTACAGCAGAAAGAGATGAAAGTAAGCAGAGACAAGGGGCACGTAGCAAGGAGTTCAGGAGAGCCCAGGCTGGAGCTCCCAGGTGTCCCCCACACGGTGGAGTCACACGCACTGATTTCTCCCAGTACACACAGGAGAAACACTCAAGCCTTGGTGTCCAGGGTCTTTGTTGGGCTTGGTCACTTTGCCTTGACCACACACTGACCTTAGTCTCCAGAGACACAAGCTGATGTCATATGACCCAGGGTCCCCAGCATAAACCACCTCGAGTGACACAGGGTGCTAGGTAAACAAAGACCCTCATCAGGGAAGACATTCCCAAGGCTTCGAGGTCCCCTCCCAGGGGCTGGGCAAGGGCCAGAGTCCTTTACTTAACTGCACGGCTGCGCAGCAAACTACTTACAGGCTTTAGGTGCCCATGTATCTGTCTCAGCTCTGTGGGTTGAGTGGGCTTGGCCTTGCAGTTCCCACCTGAGGTCTTTGGCATTTGCGGTCAGGTGACATCTGGGGCCAGAGTCATCTGGAGACTGGAAGACTAGCCTAGCTGGACATCCATGGTGGCTCATTCTGACACCTGGCAGTTGGTGCAGGCAGCTGGCTGGGAATGGTGCCTGGATCGTCCACACGGGCCTTCTGTGGCCTGGGCTTCTTCCCGACGGGGTAGCCGGGTTCCCCGGGGGGCACACTTGCACACCCAGGTGGGAGCCCACAAGTCTCCATGACCTGATCTTGGAAGTCCCACTGCATCACTGCCACCACATTGTGCCTGTCGAGCAAGTCACTGAGGCCACCCCAGATTCAGTGGGGCAGGGAAATAGAAATAAATACATTTATCTGTACAAATTTCTGATTCAAAGTAGAGTTTTGGGTTGAGCTCACGATGCCAGAATTAACTTTAAGCCCAGAGATGCAGTTTTTCCTATAGAAAGAGGCCCATAGCTAGCATTTAATTGGTCAGCTGCTTGGCTTTATGTGTTAAGGATGACTCGATTCCAGATTGTATATTACTGGCATTCCTCATAAAATCCTGATTGGTTTCTTTTTTGACTTTTTATTTGGGAACAATCTTTAACTGCACAAAAAGCTGGAAGAGAAATGCAAAGAACACTCGTATACCCTTTACCTAGCTTCACCTATTATGAACAAACCGTTTTGTTCCGTTTGCTTGACACTGCGTGTGTGTGCGCGCGCACCAGTGTTTCCTGAGCCACTTGGGAGACCGTTGCCTAGCACAGGTCATGGCCCTTTACCCCTGTGTCCTTCAGTGTGTTTTTCCTACGAGTCAGCGTCCTCTGATATAACCACACTACACCTACCCGCTAGGAGAGCCTCATGGTGCTAGGATGTCTGTATTTACGTATCTGTCCATGTCAGCGGACCCAGGCATGCCCTGTGTCACACTTAGTCGTCCGCCTTGGTCTGCTTCGATCTGGAATGTTTCCTCAGCCTCTGTCTTTTATGACATTGACATTTTTGACGAATATGATCCTTCCCCCTTTGTTTTTTTAATTATTTTTTTTAAAAGATTTTATTTATTTATTTGACGGAGCGAGAGAGCACAAGCAGGGGGAACAGTAGAGGGAGAGGGAGAAGCAGGCTCCCCGCCAAGCAGGGAGCCCGATGCGGGGCTCCGTCCCAGGACCCTGGGATCATGACCTGAGCTGAAGGCAGACGCTTAACGATCTGAGCCACCCAGGCGCCCCTCCTTCCCCCTTTAAAGAGCATTTATTTGGGGTTGGTCTGGTGTCTTTTCATGAGATTCGGGTTGGGGACCTCTAGCTGGAACAGCACGTAAGGGATGTACGGGAAGACCCTGTGTTTGGGAAATACGCTGCAAAGAATTTCCTCCCGGGCTTTGTCTCCCGCCGCCCTTTATTTTAATTGTGGTAAAAATGTACTTATGTTCTGTGTAAGTCTTAACCATATTTCAGTTTATGTGCCAGTCCTTTCTCCTTAGACTTGGCTTGGGTTGCATTGGCCAGGCAAAAGTTTATTTTGATGAGGTCGAATGTATTGGTTTTTATTTTGCGGTCTCTGTATTGTGAGTCTGGGTCAGAACTTTCTCTACACCCAGGTTTCATAGGAATCCTGACAGGTGTTCTGACATTTGTACAATTTCATGCTTTACATCTGGATCTCAGGTCTGTGTGGAGTTTATTCTGGTACGTGGGGTGTTCTCTTTCCCTGAGTGGCTACTAGAGGAATTTTTTAAATGAAACAACAAACCACTTCAGGAGATGCTGTGAGGGTTGTGGGAAGGTCCAGTGATCAACATCTTGGTACCATTTATTGTCTTAAAAAGGAACAAAGAAAATCAGGAGTTATACCCACAAGCACTAAAACCATGAACATCAGCGTGACGAGGGTTGGGGGTGGAGCAGGAGGGACCGAGGAGGAGAGGGTCTCGTTAGGGGAAGGTCTCAATCCATCCCTAAGTTTTAAGGGAAAGAGAACACCCACTCCCAGGTGAATGGAACCAACCGGAGACTTTTGAAACAAATCCACCTATACAGATCTATATGAGCATAGGTCTGAATGAGGTTCAGGCAGTTAGTTGAACAACCACAGAAACAACCAATGTCTAAATTCTAAAAGGGCGTTTGGCCAGGAGATGTCCGTGAAAACAGGAAATTAAGCAGGGCTGCAGATGCTGGGATGGGGGACCCCACCCTGGTACGAGTTTAGGTCAGGGTCACCAAGCTGGGGACGTGGGAGGTACACAGGGGTGGCGGAGCAGAGAGACGCTGAGATCAGGTGTAGACACCATGATGTGTGGTCAGGTCAGAGGCCACTGGAAGGTCTTGGGGTCTGAGGAGCAAATATGGGGGTCCCTGGAGTCTGGGCATGGATGAGGGGCCCCTAAGATACCTCCCTACCTGAGAAGGGCCTGCTGGAGCTGGGGTTGGCTGCAGTGGGAAAGCTGGAGAACCAGGAGGGGTCTCAGGAGCCTCCCACCCCCGCTGGCTGTGATGGGCCCAGGCAGCTGCCCCACTGGACAGAGCTGAGACTTGGAGGGAGCTGGACCTGGGGGTCTCTGGGGTCACAACATGTTGCCCCATCTTACAAATGAGACGGGCACAGAGGCAGTCAGCCACCTGCCTGGGAACACAGCGAGGAGGTGGGTCCTCACCGGGAAATGAAAACCTTTGATGCAAACGCTAAAAGCAGAACATCTGCGGGAAAGCTTTTGACCCTTTCAGCAAACAAAAGAGACCGACGTAGTTTTCAGTGAGGTCCCTCAGTAAAGGGGGTGACTTTTTCCCGATGCACCTAATTTGTCCTAATCCTCATGATCTGTACAGGATACATGTATTTCTAACTGCTGTAATTTGGTTCCAACTACCAATTTTAACAAAGCCTGGATCAATGTATTTGGGGCTTACACTTCTCTGTTTCCCCTTCTTTCTGGGCCTCAGTCTTCCTGTCAGGAAGACAGGGGTGTTTAAAGGAGTTTTGTGGGGGGAGGGCTCTTTCTCACAGGTGCCCCGTGTGAGGCAGTTTCTCTCTGGAGCCTGAGGCTGGTCTAAGGCTCCTGGCCGCTGGGTCCCCAGATGGCGGGGTGCACGCTGCCCTCCTTTCCTTCCTTACTGGCCCTGCCCTCCCTCACTCAGCCCTTTCTAGCTCCCTCCTCGTTCCCAGGCTCCAAAGCCCC